TTTTGGTGCTTAATTGGAGATGAAAGTTTCATGGGCTTTCTTGCCCAGGCTGGCTTTGAACCATGATCCTCCTAAGGAGTTAAGATTATACGCTTGAGTCATTGTACTTGGCTCTTCTATAGTTTTTTTTTGACAGAAAACTGTCAGTCAGTTCAGGTATAAAACCTAAAACACAATTGAACAGGTGCTAAAATTTCCATAACCTAGACGCTAATTATTAAAACAGAATTGAGTATACTTTATTGGCAAACTTTAGACTGCTTTTCAATCTTCATTTGCTACTAGGGTTTTGCCAGTAGCTATTCTACTTGGCCCTCTGAGGCTTCTCTCAAAGACCTCTGCTTTTCTTTGACATAAAATCTGAACAACTTGCCATTTTAAAAAATAAGGCATGTAATGTGTGTGTGTGTGTGTGTGTGTGTGTGTGTGTGCGCGCCCGTGCACATGTGCTGTCCTGGGGCTTAAACTCAGGGCCTGCGTGCTGCCCTTGAGATTGGGTGCAAAGCACTCTACCACTTGAGCCACAGCTCCACTTCCAGCTTTTTTCCAGAGGAGGATATTTGTGGGAGATAAGAGTTTCATGGACTTTCATGCCTATTCTGGCTTCAAACCCAATCCTCAGATCTCAGCTTCCTGAGTAGCTAGGATTATAGGTATGAACCACCACTACTGGAATTTTTGAGGAGACTTAATTCCCTAAAATGCTACTTTCCATTCATAACATGTAAAAATAATATATTAGAAAAAATATTCCTTCCCCTTATACAGTAATCCTAAAAAGCTTATTCATTGGCAATGAAATTTAAACATCCTTTTGCCCTTGCTAGTTATGTCTCTGGACTTCATGATAATATCCCCTGCTTATCATGAATAAAAGGCCAACTGTGTCTTCTGAGCTACATACATTGAGACCTTTATTCCCCAGGGAAAGGCTGTCCAACACACCCTCACAGGTCAAAGCTCTTATTAAAGTCCTTCCTGAGCACACTGAAGCCTGAATGGGCATGCAGAGGACTGGGAATTCAAGCAGTTTAAGATCTAGGTATTGGAATACACAGTAAGGGAGGAAAAGAATGAATGCCAATAGTAATTTTTGGAAGCCAGGATAAAGAATATGGGTTGTACTTTTTCTTGGAGAAACAGCAAAGCCATCAGCAGGGGTTTTAGCTGATTGCTTTTTTTCTTGACTGCCTCATTGATGACATGGATGACAGAGTCCCCAGAGTTTGTCCTGTACCTGAATCTGCAAGCTCATGCACATATATACTCCCCATACTGCAGGCCTCTACAGTGCAGGGATACTGGAAGAACAGGAATAAAACTGTCAGACTGTCTGTGGGGAAAAGGTTCTATTGCATTGTCAGACTGTCTGTGGGGAAAAGGTTCTATTGCACTATAGATTTGCATTATCTTCTCTAGATAGAGCACAGGTCAGTGATAAGAACTAGAGTACACTCCCACCAACAATGCAGTAAGGTTCCCTTCTGTCCACATCCCCGCCAGCATCTGTTGTTATTAAAGTTCTTGATTATAGCCATTCTAACTGGGGTGAGGTGGAATGTCAATGTTGTTTTGATTTGCATTTCTTTTATGGATAGGGAGGTTGAGCATTTCCTCATGTGTCTATTGGCCATCCTTCTTTCCTCTTCAGAGAAGTTTCTCTTTAAGTCTTTAGCCCACTTATTTATTGTCTGTTGTTTCTTTGAGGATTTGTTGTTGGGGGATTTAATTTTTTGAGTTCCAAGTATATTTTAGATATGAGACCCTTATCCATTGTATGGCTAATGAAGATCTTCTCTCAATCTGTGGGCTTTCTACTGATCTTGCTAGCTATGTCCTTTGCCATGCAGAAGCTCTGCAATTTCATGCAGTCCCATTTGTCCAACCTTTCTTTAATTTGTTGTGTTTCTGGGTCTCTATTAAGAAAATTTTGGCCCGTGCCAAGGAGACCTAGGGTTTCTCCTATTCCATCCTGTAATGTTTTCAGAGTGTCTGCTTTGACTTTGAGGTCTTTGATCCATTTGGAGTTGATTCAGTTTCTCAAAAGACTCCACATAGAGCTCCCCTATGACCCAGCAATCCCATTTTTGGACATTTGCCCCAATGATCACAAACAAAACCATACTAAAGCTACCAGCACAACTATGTTTATTGCAGCATTATTTACCATAGCTAAGATATGGAACCAACCCAGATGCCCCTCAGTAGATGAATGGATCAAGAAAATGTGGTATATATACACAATGGAATTCTATGCCTCCATCAGAAAGAATGGCATTGCCCCATTTGTTAGGAAATGGAAAGACTTGGAAAAAATTATATTAAGTGAAGAAACATAGTTCCCATGGTTTCCGTTATTTGTAATAACTAGTATATGTCTGAGACAAGCAGAAATGGTCAGATAAGTTGATGTTAGGTAAAATGAACCCCAAGATAAGGATTCAAATGTTTTTTCTTTCTTGTGATTGTTTCTAACATATAAGATTATTTTTTTGTTGTTTTGTATGTCCCTCCCCCTGGTATAACCCCTGTTTTCACTGTATTTGATGTTGGTACACTTTGTGGAGGGGAAGAGATAAAACTAATTGTTTAAATAGGGATACAGGTGGATCCATTGCAACAATGAGATGTACAAGATGTTATGTCGAAAAATGACCTTTACAAATTTTTTTTTGGGGGGGGGGAATGAGAAGAGATGGGAAAGATGGAAAGGGATGGGAAGGGGAAACAAAGGAGGAGGCAACAATGCTTGATAAGAAATGTACTCATTACCTTGCCCATGTAATTTTAACCCCTCTGTATGCTATTTTCACAATAAAAAAAACTGTCCCATTGAACAATGAGATGTACAAGACCTTATGTTGAAAAACAAACTTTACAACTTTGGCAGGAGGGGGTAGGGAGGATGGGGAAGGGGTGGGGGGGCTGGAGGGGAGATGGGAGGGCAGGGATGGGAAGGGGAAACAAAGGAGGAGGCAACAATGCTTGATAAGAAATGTACTCATTACCTTGCTCATGTAATTGTAACTCCTCTGTATGGTATTTTCACAATTAAAAAAACTTATTTAAATAAAAAAGAACTAGAGTACAATGGTAACTGTGGCACCTGTGGCTCACGCCTATAATTCTGGCTACTCACGAGGCTGAGGCAAGAGACTCTTTGTGCCCATTAACCACTAAAAAAGCTGGAAGTGGAGCTGTGGCTCAAGTGGTAGAGCACCATCCTTGAGCAGAAAAGTTAAGTGAGAATGTGAGGCCTTGAATTCACCAGGCCGCATTTTTTAATGTCAGTGAGCAGATACTCCTAGTTTTAAATTTAGAAAATTGGACCCATCATCCAGGAGCTCATATCATGAATGATTACAAGTAATAGATTCTCTAAAACTATTTAGTCATAGGCTATAGAGCAATCATAAACTCTATTTCCCTCCCAATTCAAAGTATAGGAGGGATGGTTCCCAATTAATGTTTCATTAATCTTTGGAAAAAGAGAGAAAAACACACACCAGGGAGCCAAATATATAAAGGCTAAAGTTTTGAAAATACAGAACTGCCAGTCTTTCCCCTGTGTGTCTTGAAAGCTTTTCTTTAGTAAAATGATGGAGCTAGGAGAAAGCAGTTTTATTTATTTGTTTGTTTATTGTCAGTTCTGGGGCTTGAACTCACGACCTGGGTGCTGTCTCTGAGCTTTTTCACTCAAGGCTACCTCTCTATTATTTGAACCACAGCTGCCCTTCTGACATTTTGGTGGCTAATTGGAGAAAAGAGTCTCATGGACTATACAATCTGGGCTGGCTTTCCTCAGATCTCAATCTCCTGAGTAGCTAGGATGACAGGCGTGAGCTGCCAATGGCAGCAGTAGTTTTCTTTTCAATGTGATTGCTTGATAAAACAGAAAGAGGAATGCCCAAAGCACACTAAATTTTAAAACATGATTCTGTCTCACATGGTTAAATAGTCTTCTCAACAATTAACATGTGACGTTAAACATCAAGACTGTGTACTTCATACTTAGTTCAAGTTTTCATGGTGCCAACTTCCGAGATGGCAGCTAAGGAAGGGAAAGGAATGACCGTCTCCATTCACTTTTCTACTCACCCTCTCTCTCTACACCCACAAGCATATTGAACTGTGGCTTCTGAGTCTCCACGATTGGGGATGAGAGAAAGGAGGAAGAGATTCAAGCAAAGCAATGGCTTAATTGTTAATATGGCTAATGGTTGGCTTTTGTTCTTTCTGAGCATGGGATGTTTAATGTTGACTCTTTCTCTTCTCAGAGCTTTTGTGTTATCCAAGATGAGCACTGGTAGCGCATACCTATAATCCTAGCTAGAAGTAGAGCTGTGGTTCAAGTGGCAGAACACTAGCCTTGACCAGAAAAGTTCAGGGACAAGTGCTCAAGCCCCTGAGTTCAGGCCCAGGACCAGCATCCCCCAAATAATAAATGAATAGATAAATACATAAATAAATCACCCATATGTTGAATTTATTGTTTTATTTTAACTTAATAAAATAATATTTTAAAAACAAACCTCAAAATGGAAATAAAAACTCAGCCTCAATAATGATTCTAACTTTAAGGTTATAATTGTTGTTTGACCTAAAGTTGTACTTTACAACGTAACTGCTACTGTAAAATAAAAAAGGACAGACCACTAACAGTGTCATGTCCCATATGAGTTCTACTCACTCCAATACAATATGTACTTCTAAACTGTATGTAGAAAACTGTTGGAAGTGTGTTTTAATTCTTAACATATATGCCCTCACAAATTGTGGTTTCAAATAGAGTAAGTATGCTTATCAAGTTTTAACTCAGTTGAATCTTGGAAGAAGTTGTCAATTATGCAGAAAGAAAATTCAAGCATGAAAGTACTTAGGTAATCTCTTGAACTTTAAACTTCCACATCATAGTACTGGGTTCGATCTAAGATAAGACATGGAATAAATTCCCGTCTAAGATAAGACTGAATCAGTTTGCCTAGAGGTTGACACAACTGAGAACATGGCTTTTGACGGTAGCTGGAAGGTAGACCGGAGTGAAAACTATGACAAGTTCATGGAAAAAATGGGTAAGGACTTTCTTCTTCGCTGGCTCTCTCTTTGCATGCCTAACAGCTGTTCTGGCTTAGAGACTGGTTCTGGGTCATTGTGCTTCTGAGGAGAGGAGGGAAAACCAATCTTCTAGTTTCTTGCATTAGGAAGAATGCATTATTTCTCTAGGGGAAAGGAAGATTCTCCCAGCACCTGCAAATGCACAAAGACATTGAAAGATTAATTAGACTTTGCCAGAGAACCAGGCAGACATACAGGTACAGAGAACAAAGAAAGGTTTATTGCCAGGAAAGGAGGCAGGCAATACTCCTTCTCACAAAGGAGAAGTGAGAAGAAGCACCTGCTATTGTCTGAGGTGACCTATATAACCTAAAAGGTTTAGGAGGGGCTAGAAGGGGCTAGGAGGCGGAGACCCTGGTGTGGACGTGTGGGCCAGGGGCTTCATCATGGCAGACTAAGATTTATGGTTGCTATTCAAATAGTAGATAAGGGTCCTGTAGCTGCCTGAACTAGAAGGTTACTTTAAGGGGCTCTTGTTGCCTTCTATGGTGGTAGCTGCCCCAAAGAAGTGCCATCCCAAGGTAAAGGGGGTTGGAAGTTGATTATTTACTACCTTTACTACATGGGCCTAGTGCTGCCTAGGAAGGGAGCATGTTAAGCTGTGGAGAAGGGAAGGAATGGACTAAGCTACGGGAAAGGGACTCATTCGCTAACAGACATATTCAGATATGTTTCCTTCATTCTTTTTGTTTGTTGGTGGTGACAGTCCTGGGGCTTGAACTCAGGGCCAGGGTACCATCCCTGAGCTTTTGTGCTCAAGGATAGTGCTCTTTCACCTGAGCCATAGCTCCACTTCCTGCTTCTTCTTTTGATAGTTAAATGTACAAAAGAGTCTTACACAGCTTTGAATCGAAATCTTCAGATCTCAACCTCCTGAGGAGCTAGGATCACAGGTGTGAGCCACCAGCACCTACTGTTTCTTTCATTCTTTAACTACTGGTGGTATCTATGAAATTGAAAACTAATATTTTGTTTGTTTAGAGAAACAAAATGGTAGTATGTAGTGAAAATTTCCAGATTTTTAAACTAGGTTTACAGGAAAAGCAAACACTATATAATAAAATAGTAAAAATGTGTTCTATAAAAATTCACTTTAGAGTTGGGAAGGGGGCTCAGTGGTAGAGCGCTTGCCTTGCATGCATGAGGCCCTGGGTTCAATTCCTCAGCACCACATAAGCAGAAAATAAAAAAGCTGGAAGTGGTGCTATGGCTCAAGTGGTAGAGCGCTAGCTTTGAGCTGAAGAGCTGAAGGACAGCGACCAGACCCAGAGTTCAGGCCCCATGACTAGACCCCCCCCCAAAAAAAATTCACTTTAAATAAATTAGATTTTATACTCTTCTCTGTTTTAGAAAACTCTCCGAAACAACCTCACAAAGCTATGTATGTATTTTTTTTTTTTGAGGAGGTTGACTTTAACTTGTATAAGTGTGCAATAATATTCTGGTAAAAGTTGGGCAAACACATCTGTCATTTCCCCTAAGTAAACATCTGCATTTTTTATAGCCTATAGCTTTGGAATGCCAAAGGTTAAGTTTATGGAATTTGTATGTTCATGTAATAATGAATTTGGCCATACATTTACTAAAATTTCTGTTTGGAGTCCAGTCAGAAATTCCTCAAAAAGCAGATAATTGTGAAATTTAAACCCTAAAAGCAAGTTGGCTATGGTAACATATACCTGCAATTCAAGCACTCACAGGAATGAGCACATGGACAGAAAATGGTATTAACAAAAGAATATAGTGAATGTACAGAAGGACTGCTGTCACTTTACAAAAAAGTAAACACCATTTACTACTTCAATTGGCTCTCCTGAAATGTGTTTTACTTTATACTAAAACAAAAAGTTTGCTGGCATTGGGGCTTCAACTTAGGGCTTTACACTCCTGATTGGCTTAAGGCTGACATTCTATCATTTGCACCACAGTCAAAGATGAGCCTCACAGACTTTTTAGCCCTGGCTGGCTTCAAACTAGGATCTTTGGATCTCAGCCTCCTAAGTATCTGTCTTACAGGTGTGAGCCACCAGCCCTCAGCAACTTTATTAGTCTTTATTAAAATTACTCCACTATCTAAGAGGATTTGTTTGGAAGAGTGCCTGGGATCAGTTCTGATCCAATTGTGCTTAACTTTCCCTCCACAATCTAGCCAAAGCTGAGGCAAAAACAATACTAATGGGACTTCCTCTCCACTCTCAAAATAAAATTTAACAAGAGTTTAAAATAGAGCTCAGAACACAGATGTTCTGTGGGATTTTAACGTTTTTGTTCTCTTATCTCTTTCCCTTTATAGGTATCAACATGGTAAAAAGGAAGCTTGCAGCTCATGACAATTTGAAGCTGATAATTACACAGGAAGGAAATAAATTCACAGTCAAAGAATCAAGTACTTTTCGAAACATTGAAATTGTTTTTGAACTTGGTGTCACTTTTAAGTACAGCCTAGCAGATGGAACTGAACTCACTGTAAGAAGTGTGTGTGTGTGTGTGTGTGTGTGTGTGTGTGTGTGTGTGTGTGCCAATCCTGGTGTTTGAACTCAGGACCTTAGCTGCTCAAGGCTGGCACTCTACCACTTGAGCCACAGCTCTACTTCCTGCTTTTTGTTGGTTAATTTCTTGCCTGGGTAGGTTATGAACCATGATTCTCACTTAACCTCCTAAGTAGCTAGAATTACAGGGATGAACCAGTGACTAGAAATAATTTTTATAAGTGACATATTCTTGGATTTTCCACCCAACACCAAACCAATCTGCTTTATTTCATTGGGTGGCTTAATTAGTAAAATCTGATGAAGCCAATGAAGTCTTTAAATTTATGTTGCATGGATTCTTGGCATATTTAAATACAGTGTTTTTATTTCCATTTCCATGTGAAAAGAATCTAGAACAAACAAGAATTAGGAAAATTCCCTTCAAAGATCTGATTGTAAACCAGTTCACAAAGAAATTTAAATATTTTTAACATTATATTCTGGTAGCAACAAAAAGCTTCTAGGATAACTACATAAAAGTTTTGTATGCCAGGCGCCAGTGGCTCATGCCTGGAATCCCAGCTACATAGGAGACAGAGATTAGAGAATCATGGCTTAAGCCAGCTAGGGAAGGAAAGTCCATGAGATTCTTCTGTCCAGTTAAACCACCAAAAAGCTGTAGGTGAAGCTATGGCTTGAGTAATAGAGCACAAAATCTCAGGAACAGCATCTAGGCTCAGAGTTCAAAACTCAGGACTAGCACCATTAAAAAAAAAAACAACTCAGCAGATGGCAATTATGGAGGAAGTTGTACAGAATGGTTGTACTACATGGATTGAAACCTGGCATCATCACAAGATGGCTTTGAGTAAATTACTCTGCGTGTATTTCCTTGGCTATAAAATGGAAGCAACAGTATCACTTCACAAGGTCAATGTGAAGGTTAAACAAAAAATTAAATATGGGCTGGGAAGGTGGCTCAGTGGTAGAGCACTTGCCTTGCATGCATGAGGCCCGGGGTTTGATTCCTCAGCACCACATAAGCAGAAAAAGCTGGAAGTGGCGCTGTGGCTCAAGTGGTAGAGCGATAGCCTTGAGCTGAAGGGCTGAGGGACAGCACCCAGGCCCAGAGTTCAAGCCCCACGACCAATAAAAAATTAAATATGTTATCTACCCATATATTTATATGACTCAAAACAGCCTCTAAGATGCATGAGACCCTAACAAATGCCACCATCTTTTTACGGTATAGGGGAGCTGGGCCATTGAAGGAAACAAACTTGTCGGAAACTTCCAACGCGTGGACAATGGGAAGGAGCTGAAGACTGTTCGCGAAGTCATGGGCAGTGAGCTAGTCCAGGTGAGCTGTGAGAGGCAAAAAACGTTTCAGAGGTAAAAAGAAATGACACAATAGCAACTATTGTATCATGGCTGAATTACAGAGTTAGTAAATAGACGGTTACTTTTGTTCTTATAATACATACTGCTTTCGAAAAATAGAAACTTTTTGTGCTATTTATGGAAAAGAATTAGCCACGTAAATTCATATGTGTGTGCGATCCATAGCAACAGCTTTTTTAACTACCAATCAACATTTTTAATGAGAGTATCCAGTATATGCCTAAAAATCTTCCTATCAAGTATAAAGACAATAGCTCTATATTTTAACAGAAAATTCTTTTGTTTGTTTATGCTTCTCAGACTTATACATATGAAGGAGTAGAAGCCAAGAGGATCTTTAAGAAGGAATAAGCGTGGTTCTTGGGACACAGCTTAAAATACAAATTGGACAGAAGATCTATTTTGCACCCAAAAACTGCTTTTCACTCGCCACCAAAAATAAAGTTACCGACTGATTAGTCTTTTAGCAAACATTGGTATACTTCCAGGCTTGTCAAAGTAAAAGAAGTAAAAGTTAATTTGGACTTAATTTGTGTTCAGATGGACATTTTTTGGTGCTTTCAAAAAATTTGTACCTCTTTTTAAAAACAGAGAAATAAATGTTTTTCTCATACTGCTTTACAAGTAGCCTTTTGTTATAAACAAGCAGCCAAGCATGGTGTTGCACACTTGTAATCACAGCCATATGGAAGCATAAGTGGGAAGCCTGCATTGAAGTCCCAGGCAGGTTGGAGATCTCCCTACCTGCAAAATAACTAAAGCAAAAAGGGTAGGAGCATGCTCCTGGGGTAAAATGTTTGCCTGAGTTCAAATTCCTATACTGGAAAAACAAAGAAAGCAAAAAGCTTTGTGACATCAAGCCTATGCTCAATGTTTTCATATTTGTTTTTGTTTTCATATGTGGTAACCTAAAAGCATAATTGCCTCTGAGTCTTCTCAACTGTGAGTGTCCATGAGTCCCTCAGTAGATGAATGGACCAAGAAAATGTGGTATATATACACAATGGAATTCTATGCCTCCATCGGAAAGAATCACATTGCCCCATTTGTTAGGAAATGGAAAGACTTGGAAAAAATTATATTAAGTAAGTCAGGCCCAAAGAAACACAGGTCCCATGGTTTCCCTTATTTGCAATAACTAGTTTATGTCTGAGTCAAGCAGAAAAGCTCAGATAAGTTGATGTTAGGGAAATGAACCCTAAGATATGTATTTAAATTTTTCTTTCTTTCATGCAATTGCTTCTAACACATTTATAAGTTTATTTCTTTGTTGCTTTGTATGTCCCTCCCCCATGGTATAACCCCTGCTTTCACTGTATTTGATGTTGGTATACTTTGTGGAGGGGAAGGGAAAAAACAAATCGTTTAAATAAGGATACAGGTGGACCCATTGCAACAATGAGAACTATAAGTCGTTATGTCGAAAACAAACTTTACAACTTTGGTGGGGGGGGGGGGAGGATTAGATGGGGGGTGGGGGAAGGATGGGAAGGGATGGGAAGGGGAAACAAAGGAGGAGGCTACAATGCTTGATAAGAAATGTACCCATTATCTTGCCCATGTAATTGCAACCCCTCTGTACAGTATTTTCACAATAAAAAAATATGTACTCAACCAAAAAATCTTTAGAAATAAAAGCAAATCCAAAAAGAAGTGTGTGCCTACTTGCACAATTCAAAGATGTTAGTCATTCTGATAGATCAAAATTTTTAGCCCTGCACCAGTGGCTAATGCCTTTAATCCTAGCTACTCAGGAGGTCGAGCTCTGAGGATCGAGGTTCAAAACCAGCCTGGGCAGGAAAGTCTGTGAGACTCTTATCTCCAATTAACCACCAGAAAATTGGAAGTGGTGCTGTGGTTCAAGTGGTAGAGTAAATAGCCTTTGGCTGAAGAGCTGAGGGACAGCACCCAGGCCCAGAGTTCAAACCTCCCAACCAACAACAACAACAAAATTTTTTTGATAATTTTGTCCCAGTCATCTTCTCTAGGTGTGAATTTTCCCAGTTCACGCCACGTTGAATAATATCATGGGACTTACATGTTGAGCTACATCAAAACTTTGTCAACCAGTTACAGGTGTAATCCTAGCTGTATCGCTAGCTATTCAAGAGGCTGAGATCTTTGGATGAAGTTCAAAGCCAGCCAGGGCAGGAAGTCCGTGAAACTCTTATCTTCACCTAACCATCAAAAAGTTGGAAGTAGAGCTGTGGCTCAAGTGGTAGATGGCTAGCCTTGAGCAAAAGAAGCTCAGGGACAGCGCCCAGGGTAAGTTCAAGCCTCAGGATCTGCACAACTCTCCACCACAACCCTCAAAGTTCAGTAACAAAAAAACACTCTGCCATATTTTTCTACAACATCAGTGATTCTCAAAAGTCACCCAAGGGCGGAAAGTGTTTGTCTTCTTAATCTCCCCCATCAGACTCCTAGGTCTGAGTCCTGGAAAGTAAAACCAAGAAATTCAGACAACTTCCTGGTGATTTTGATGCTTGCCTGCCCCCATTTCTGTCTTTGGGAACCACACATCTATAAAACATCAGATACTACTTCTAACTGCCACAACCTCTTTTCTATTTTTATAAACACATACATTGGCCAATTTGCCAGGTCCCCAAATGTTCATTTTCCTTATATTTCTATGGGATGCACTATTTCATGGGCTTCAAGTAGGAGACTCTGCATTAGAAGGAAAGAAGAATGAAAGAAGGACAAATTTTTAAGCATTTGGAAATCTGTGAATCTGTTTGTTTGTCAGGTCCTGGAGTTTGAATTCAGAACCTAGGTGCTGTCCCTGAGATTATTTTGCTCAAGGCTAAAGCTCTACCACTTAAGCCACACCTCTACTTGCAGCTTTTAATGATTAAGTAGAGATAAGAATCCCATGGAAAGGATTCAGGTGGACCTGTTGCAACAATGAGAAGTACAAAATGTCATGTCAAAACCAGCTTTACAATGTCGTTGGGGGGGGGGGGAGGGGGGGTATGATTGGGTGGGGGGGAGGGGGGAGGTTGGGAAGGGAGGTGAAGGGTAAACAAAGGAGGAGGCTGCAATGCTTGGTAAGAAATGTATGCATTTTCCTGCCCATGTAATTGTAACCCCTCTGTACAGTATGTTCTCAATTAAAATTAAAAAAAAAAAAAAAAGGGAAAAAAAAAAAAAGTTATAACTAAAGGAAAAAAAAAAAAAAAAAAAGAATCCTATGGATTTTCCTGCCCTTGCTGGCTTCAAACTGTGATCCACACATCTCAGCCCCCTGGGTATCTAGGATTATAAATGTGAGCCCCTGTCACCCAGGTGAATCTTTGTTTGGACAATAGTTAAGATGTAATTGTTCTACTATGTGCCACGCACAGGCTTTGTACAAACATATGAAGACATTATGAAAAGGGAATTAAGAAACTGGAGAAAATGTGATCTTTAAAGGAAATAAAAAACTTAAATCCACTGTTCATTTTTTTTGTGTGTGTGTGTCCGGTCGTGGGGCCTGAACTCTGGGCCTGAGCTCTGTCCCTCAGCTCTTCAGCTCAAGGCTAGCGCTCTACCACTTGAGCCACAGCCCCACTTCCGGCTTTTCTTTTCTGCTTATGTGGTGCTGAGGAATCGAACCCAGGGCCTCATGCATGCAAGGCAAGCGCTCTACCACTGAGCCACCTTCCCAGCCCCCCACTGTTCATTTTTTGACTTAATTAAAAAATCTTCAGATAAGAAATACTAATTAAGAGCTGGGAATGTGAGGGCTGGGAAGGTGGCTCAGTGGTAGAGTGCTTGCCTTGCATGCATGAGGCCCTGGTTCCAATTCCTCAGCACCGTATAAGCAGAAAAAGCCAGAAGTGGTGCTGTGGCTCAAGTGGTAGAGTGCTAGCCTTGAGCTTGAAGAGCTGAGGGACAGTGCCCAGGCCCAGAGTTCAAGCCCCAGGAATGGAGGAAAAAAAAAAAAGAAATACTACTTAATTACCAAGATTTTCACATGCTTCTTTCTTTATACAATTTCAATGTATTGTCATGTCTCTTACCTTGCTAGTCTTGCAAATGTGAAACAGGAGAAGTGTGGGTTTTATCTCATTTGCAAGTAGAGAAAGTGAGGCACAGTTTATTCGCTTATGTCTTGTAGGCTAAGATGAACATAAGAACTAAGTGTAAGTCCTAACTTCCAGTCTGATGCATGGTGATATAATGCCATGACTTCGTCTATTTTTTTTTGGGGGGGGGTCCAGTTGTGGGGCCTGAACTCTTGGCCTGGGCACTGTCCCTGAGCTCTTCAGCTCAAGGCTAGCGCTCTACCACTTGAGCCACAGCGCCACTTCGGTTTTTTTCTTTTTTGCTTATGTGGTGCTGAGGAATCAAACCAGGGCCTCATGCATGCAAGGCAAGCGCTCTACCGCTGAGCCACCTTCCCAGCCCCGACTCCGTCTATTATAAACAAAAATATCTTAGGGAAAATTTTCTCTTAATTTATTAGTGGCACCCAATAATAGGACTGCAAATAAATCAGGCCAAACTCTAACATAATGGCCATCCAATGGTTAATCATTTTTCTATTTCTAGCATCATTGAAGGCTTTCTTTTCACAATTTGTGTCCATTCTAGTATTAAATTTCCACTATTCATTAATATTGGAGAGCAGGAAATCATTTATATACTTCTCTTTAGGACAACTACGCTTCGCATGGTACCTCCCTGTTTGGCCAAGAGAGGGCGCCTGATCCAAGAGCAGTCCTCATCTAGCCAGTCTTTTTTTCCTTGTTACTTAAAAATTTTTCTTCTAATGGTGACATACAGGAGGGTTACTGTTGCATAAATCAGGTAATAAGTATATTTCTTTTGACCAGTGACACCCCTCCCTCATTTCTCCTGCTTCCCGCCCCCACCACTCCTTGACCCCCACCCCCAAGTTGTATAGTTCTTTTCTAACAGTGTCTAGTGTGTATCACTGCTAAATTGGTTCACCCTTTGTCCCACAATTACTGTGCTTCCTCTTTTCCTCCCCAAACCAGATAAACTTATGTACAAAACAAAGAGTACAGAAATAGAAAAGCGACAAAAGGAAAAAGGAAATAAAAAAGAACCGCAAACAATCTAAAAGCAAAACCAATGGATAGTAAAAGAAAAATAACTACATGATTAATTAAACAGCACTCTAAACATTCACACAATAAGAACAAAGGAGAATATTCTTAAGCGAGGATCACAAGGGCTCCGTAGCTATGTGCAGATGATCATACAAAATGAGGCTCATGGTGCCAGTTTTAAGCTTTGGGCAAGGCACAAGACCTGCTCATTGAACCTAGAAGAATCTCTTTTTCAGAAGCTTGAATTTGAGAAATACCCAGTAGGCAGCAGGCTAGAAGAGGTTTTAAAGAGAACAGACAATAAGCATGTGTCAGCAATATGTGACTTGGAGCG